ACCTAACCGTTAGGAGCAAGTCTAACCATACCGTTAGAAGCAAGCCTAACCATTACCTAACCGTTAGGAGCAAGTCGAACCTAACCGTTAGGAGCAAGTCGAACCGTTAACTAACCGTTAGGAACACAACCGTTAACTAACCGTTAGGAGCACGTCTAACGTAACCGTTAGGAGCAAGTCGAAACCGTTAACTAACCGTTAGGAGCACGTCTAACCTAACCGTTAGGAGCAAGTCGAAACCGTTAACGAACCGTTAGGAGCGAGTCGAAACCGTTAACTAACCGTTAGGAGCACGTCTAACCTAACCGTTAGGAGCAAGTCGAAACGTTAACTAACCGTTAGGAGCATGTCTTACCTAACCGTTAGGAGCAAGTCTAACCATTAACGAACCGTTAGGAGCGAGTCGAAACCGTTAACTAACCGTTAGGAGCACGTCTAACCTAACCGTTAGGAGCAAGTCGAAACCGTTAACGAACCGTTAGGAGCGAGTCGAAACCGTTAACTAACCGTTAGGAGCACGTCTAACCTAACCGTTAGGAGCAAGTCGAAACCGTTAACGAACCGTTAGGAGCGAGTCGAAACCGTTAACTAACCGTTAGGAGCACGTCTAACCTAACCGTTAGGAGCAAGTCGAAACCGTTAACGAACCGTTAGGAGCGAGTCGAAACCGTTAACTAACCGTTAGGAGCACGTCTAACCTAACCGTTAGGAGCAAGTCGAAACCGTTAACGAACCGTTAGGAGCGAGTCGAAACCGTTAACTAACCGTTAGGAGCACGTCTAACCTAACCGTTAGGAGCAAGTCGAAACCGTTAACGAACCGTTAGGAGCGAGTCGAAACCGTTAACTAACCGTTAGGAGCACGTCTAACCTAACCGTTAGGAGCAAGTCGAAACCGTTAACGAACCGTTAGGAGCGAGTCGAAACCGTTAACTAACCGTTAGGAGCACGTCTAACCTAACCGTTAGGAGCAAGTCGAAACCGTTAACGAACCGTTAGGAGCGAGTCGAAACCGTTAACTAACCGTTAGGAGCACGTCTAACCTAACCGTTAGGAGCAAGTCGAAACCGTTAACGAACCGTTAGGAGCGAGTCGAAACCGTTAACTAACCGTTAGGAGCACGTCTAACCTAACCGTTAGGAGCAAGTCGAAACCGTTAACGAACCGTTAGGAGCGAGTCGAAACCGTTAACTAACCGTTAGGAGCACGTCTAACCTAACCGTTAGGAGCAAGTCGAAACCGTTAACGAACCGTTAGGAGCGAGTCGAAACCGTTAACTAACCGTTAGGAGCACGTCTAACCTAACCGTTAGGAGCAAGTCGAAACCGTTAACGAACCGTTAGGAGCGAGTCGAAACCGTTAACTAACCGTTAGGAGCACGTCTAACCTAACCGTTAGGAGCAAGTCGAAACCGTTAACGAACCGTTAGGAGCGAGTCGAAACCGTTAACTAACCGTTAGGAGCACGTCTAACCTAACCGTTAGGAGCAAGTCGAAACCGTTAACGAACCGTTAGGAGCGAGTCGAAACCGTTAACTAACCGTTAGGAGCACGTCTAACCTAACCGTTAGGAGCAAGTCGAAACCGTTAACGAACCGTTAGGAGCGAGTCGAAACCGTTAACTAACCGTTAGGAGCACGTCTAACCTAACCGTTAGGAGCAAGTCGAAACCGTTAACGAACCGTTAGGAGCGAGTCGAAACCGTTAACTAACCGTTAGGAGCACGTCTAACCTAACCGTTAGGAGCAAGTCGAAACCGTTAACGAACCGTTAGGAGCGAGTCGAAACCGTTAACTAACCGTTAGGAGCACGTCTAACCTAACCGTTAGGAGCAAGTCGAAACCGTTAACGAACCGTTAGGAGCGAGTCGAAACCGTTAACTAACCGTTAGGAGCACGTCTAACCTAACCGTTAGGAGCAAGTCGAAACCGTTAACGAACCGTTAGGAGCGAGTCGAAACCGTTAACTAACCGTTAGGAGCACGTCTAACCTAACCGTTAGGAGCAAGTCGAAACCGTTAACGAACCGTTAGGAGCGAGTCGAAACCGTTAACTAACCGTTAGGAGCACGTCTAACCTAACCGTTAGGAGCAAGTCGAAACCGTTAACGAACCGTTAGGAGCGAGTCGAAACCGTTAACTAACCGTTAGGAGCACGTCTAACCTAACCGTTAGGAGCAAGTCGAAACCGTTAACGAACCGTTAGGAGCGAGTCGAAACCGTTAACTAACCGTTAGGAGCACGTCTAACCTAACCGTTAGGAGCAAGTCGAAACCGTTAACGAACCGTTAGGAGCGAGTCGAAACCGTTAACTAACCGTTAGGAGCACGTCTAACCTAACCGTTAGGAGCAAGTCGAAACCGTTAACGAACCGTTAGGAGCGAGTCGAAACCGTTAACTAACCGTTAGGAGCACGTCTAACCTAACCGTTAGGAGCAAGTCGAAACCGTTAACGAACCGTTAGGAGCGAGTCGAAACCGTTAACTAACCGTTAGGAGCACGTCTAACCTAACCGTTAGGAGCAAGTCTAACCTAACCGTTAGTAACCGTTAGGAGCAAGTCTAACCTGACCGTTAGAAGCAAGTCGAAACCGTTAACTAACCGTTAGGAGCACGTCTAACCTAACCGTTAGGAGCACGTCTGACGTTAACTAACCGTTAGGAGCACGTCTAACCTAACCGTTAGGAGCACGTCTGACGTTAACTAACCGTTAGGAGCACGTCTAAGGCTTGTTTGAATCGTTGTTGGGCGCCAAATAACGTTAGCATTCCTACAAAAAACTGAAGACTATTTCAAATTAATATAATTACCGCTTTTGTCTTACAAACATTTGCAAGCTGTCATTTTGTTTAAACGGACTAATTACAACGATTCATACCTGTCATACACAAATAAATCTCTATAAACAATTAAGAAGAGACCTTAGCCTGATATCGCAAGAGACTGTGGTTGGCCAATCCTGATCAGCGCTGAAAAATAACAGGTACCACGTGACCGCTGGCACAAAAAACTAAATCTATGGAAAGACTATATATATATATATATATATATATGTATAAAAGGCCACAAATGTAGAGAAGATTTGAGATTTTATGAGAGGAGAATAATCTTTACTGTATGTCTTTCAGTTTCTAAACAAAAGGTGTATAAGGTACGGAAAAAATATAGAAAAAGGCAATATATTTGCTTAATTTTCTTTTGCAGAGTCAAATAATACAAATATAAGAAATATGAGCTGCTGACACATAACACAAACAACTTTAATACATGTCACAAAAGGTCAAATAGAAAAGTTTTAATTCGGACCCATCGCAGCTGACCAATCAGATGCGTTCAGGCCGCTAAGCCCCGCCCATTTAAGAACCCTCGCTGTTCTCCTTCCGACGCTGCGT